CAACATCATTAATGGAACCAGATGAACTAAAGTACTCACGAGTCTCCCCTAAAGAGTCGATTTATATCAATGGTTAATGGAAAATCCATGATCACATTGTACCTATGGATAATCAGTATTACAGAATTAGTGAAAACATTAGCTTAATTATATCATAGGTTGAAACTTTATCTAAAGCTTTGACTTGAAGGAAAAAGAAAAAGAGGATATTACTTTTTTGTAACTCCTATTTCATGGCAAAGGCTGCACCTATTGAATTTGAGATCCACTTTGTGAACCATTTTCTTGCCATCAGCTGAAAATAGGATTATGCTAATTTACAAATTGTTACCAAATTTGTACACAAGTTTAAATTCCCATTTTAAAAGTTTTTAAAAGGAAATACTGCATGTAACATGCCTGAAATAACTCCTAGCTCAAAATAAGGTTTTCTTGGATATATCCCCATTATAACAAGTTCACCACTTCCAGGGGCTTTCTGCATAAAACAAGAAGGTTAACAATGAAGGAATCCTAAATAAATTGATAAAACTGAGTTTAAGATGTTGAACAGTACTCTTACACAGACGCGCGCACACACTGACAATTTTTAAGAACTTAATTACCTTTGGATGGCTAGTGAATGGTCGATCCCAAGCTCCATCGATATTCCAATTGCCCAGAGTTTCAAGGGAACTTATGTCTATCTCTTGAGGCATATGATTTTCGGCAATAGAGTAGTATTTCTTTGAGTGCTCAAAAATATTTGTATTGCTTAGATATTTGTTTTCCATGCCAAATCTCAACTGCAACGCACGCAAAACAAACAATGCTGAGATTCTCACATCATATCGATCCACCTCATTTCTTGTTCCTAAGATACTAATAGTTATTCGAATAGTATCATACCCCATTCAAAATGTAAGCCACTAAAATGGCAGAAGAATCTCCTTCAATAGCAGGAAGAAAACCTGGTTTCTTTCTATCTTTTTCCATTTTGAAAGTGTCAGTTCGGACGTGTTTGTTATTGTAGAATATATTCCAAGTTCCTCTTCCTTTTTCTTTTGTGAAGTACAAAGCATGAAGCATTCCTTCCCCTTCAATCCAAACATGGCTTGATTTCCCAAATATAGACTTGGTCGATTTGAGTCCTCCAAACAGAGGATTTGAGCCTGCAAAGGGAGTTATTTAAGTTTACCAGAGTCTAGCAAGAACTTTCTATTTTTACAACTAAAGTCATCAAAATTTACTCCTGATGAGCATGTTATAAACTTTGATGTTCTTGTTGTTGTTGCCTCAAACGAACCAAACATTGGTCAAATTTATCAGAAGACAACAAGTAAAACCAGAATGCATGTTTAACAAATTAATAAAACAAAGTCTAATTTGTTTTCTTGCAGAGCTGTCATTTAAACTGACACCAAATGAGACAGAAAGTGAGTATGCAGTTTTCAGCTTATAGAATTTTAGATACATGGAGCAACGACCATGTAGAAATAAAACACTTTATGCATATATCGTTAATATTAATGTATTGATCACAACTTTCTTATCATGGAAAAGGAAAAAGGAAAATTAAGAGGACAGGAGGTGAAAATGTAAGAATACTTACCATTTCTTATGTAAACTCCCTCTGGAAAATCATCCGGAATTTTTCCTTCCGCTGTAGTAACTAGGACAGCTTCTCCATTCTCTTCTACTGGTGCAAAATTACTCTATAAAAATTAATTACATTAGTGAACAGAAACAAGTAGCTAATTTTCAAGAACCAACAACCAACAACAACATGCGCAGTTTAGTTCTACAAGTGAGGTCTGAAGAGGGTAGTCTTGTGAAGGTATAAAGACTGTTTATGATAGACGCTTCAAGAACTGAGTCTGGTAATTAATTAATGGACATACCTGAGAAGGGAGTAATGGCTGGTCAACAAATTCAAATACTAAGTCCACAAAGGCATCTAATAATTTGAAAGAAGTCTCCTTGATAGCTTTTGGAATGTCCGCAGCAACAATTGGAAAATGCAGCAAGTCCCTCGATAATGGCTGTTTCATCAATTCAAAACCAAGCAATATAAGATTTTCTTTTGAAGAATGATATATAGTAAAAATTTTGCACAAGGACTAGAGGGAAGTTTACGTTCAAAGCAGATGAGATTGAGACTTTCAAGTCCTGAACTTTACTTGGAATAGAAGGCCTTTGATAAGAGCAATTTACTTGAAATGTGTAACTACAAAAAGCCATATTCCTAACCCTCTCTATCACTGCCTCTTAGTAATACTGTTAAAAAAATAACTTGCCGTGTAACTTTTTGGCATAAATGAGAGGATATTTATAGTTTGAAGAAGACAGGCGTAAACAATGAGGATCCAATTCCTGGGATAAAAGCATCTTTTGGAAATGACATTTCTCAGAATTTAAAATTATCAAGTTACTGTCAAGTATTTTTTTTATTCACTATCCATTAGTGTCCGGAATTTACTAACCTGATTAATCCTGATTCGTATTGCGTACGGGCTATTAAAGAGGAGGTGCTCTCTATCTCATGAACTCAAATTCGAGATATTTGATTAAGAATGAAAGGATCTCATCCATTCCACCATACCACATATTTCTTTTAATTACTTTGTTTAATGATCAAGTGACTTTTGAAAATCTTTTTATTTGTTAGTCAAGCACACAAGACCAGCCAACTACTGATATGTATAGCGTCTGACAACTGCATCGTTTCTGGTTCTCAAGATGGATATTGGCTAAGGCTACATCATTGATTACACTAGATGTGGCATATTCCTATTATTAAGTGCTTATTGGCTAAGGCTACATCATTGTGATTGTAATTATGAATTTATCGGAACAAAAGTATAGGATTCATATGTAAGGCCAAAAAAGAATTTAGCCTATGCATTTATACGAGTGGTAAAGGACAACAATGAGGTGGGTGCAAGGTGGAGTTTAGTCTTTGTTTCTTTGGAAAGCCGCAAACGTTTACCTATTTATTAATATCAAATAAATAAAATATTTGAAGGGAGTTGAGCTAAGTTCAGCCGAATTTGCTAGAGCAAAATGTTCAATATCCAAGCCTAAATTGACATTTTAACGTTCATATCCGCGATGCGACTATGTTTTTTGGAAAAAAATAAATTCTTACAACTGATTCATTAAGAGGAAAATTTACATATTAATCAATAGTTTAAATTGAAAAATGAATTTGAATGTTACCTGATTATATAAATTAGAAACTAAATTAAACGCAAGTTAATTAAGCATAGTATATATATAATTGAAATTAAAAGCCAAACAATAAAATTACCAGCGGAACCAACCAGTATATACCAAAATAGATTCCCATCCATAATTGGAACTGCATATATACTAAATTTCTTAATCGCACTTTACATATGCTTTATTAGGTACAATGTCAATAAAAGTTTCATTACATCACATAAAGAAGAATTAGTACAAAAATTACAATTTATAATCTTAGCATCTAACTAGGGGAAGATTCGTCATTAGCATCTTAGCTGTAGACAAAATTTATGTGGACTTTCAATTAATTGATTACACTAGCATATTTTTTTCATGCAAAAATGGTTCTTGTACTCATTGCTGAAACCTTCTCGTGAAGTCCATATGATGTTGGACATATTTCTATATGTTTTGATGTTACTTTATCCATATTTTAATCGCTTTTTGTTGCTATTTGGTGTAAAAAATACCCAACATGGTTTAATTATTGGTTTTATGATTAATGGAGTTGTGTGTGATAATTTAGGGTGTTTGGAGTGCAAAATATGAAGAAAAGATGCTCCAACTAGAGGAGAAGAGGTGATTCCAACCTTAGGAAGAAGGTTACTTGGTGCACCCCTTAGCAGTGAAGTCGGCCCATAGCATCTCCATAGCATCCGAACCTGGACAAAGCTGAGATGGAGGAACAAAGGGTGGATGAAGCATCCACCCTAGCATGCGAAGCTGAGAAGCGCAGGACAAGGTGGATCTGAAGCATCCATCCCAACATTAATCCCTGAAGCAGATTCAGACTAGGATTAGGAGAACTTTGGCTCACGACTTTTGTACGCAATATATAAGCCAAAAACACCTCTTTTAAGTCATCTAACATATTGGGAAAGGAGAAAAAACCACGACAAAGCTTGGGAACCACGGAATTCGTCTTGAGTTCTTACTTTTTCCTTCTTTTATTGATTTTTATGTATTCTTGAGAATTACTTGAAATTGTTACTATGAGCATGCGTGGCTAAGAACCCTATTGTTCTAGGGTCATGGGTGAAACATGAATGTTGATGTTTGAAGTTTAATTTGACGAAGTTGATTTTATCATATTTGGTTGTTTATTTAATTCTTTTTCTCAATTATTTTGCTGAGTGGCTAATAGTGAAATACTATCTACGAATCTAGAGTTGAACTGGAAAGTGGGAATTCTAGATTGCATAAAGAATTAAATAGAGCAAGTTCTTGAACCCGGACATCGGGGAACGGATTTGCAATTAGGATAGACATATACCTAATTGTCTTGCTTGGTTGAAATACAGGAAGTATAAATGCATTTTTGTTAATCTTAATTCCATAGACATATAGGCATTAAGTTAGCTTGAATAGGCGAGTAAGAATTCGACAGATTCTTATGAGCAATATCAACCCTGTCAATCAACAACCCAGATAAATCAATTAGTCATTTTAAGCCAAGAACGCAACACGATTGTTAGCTAACCCGTAACCCTGGAATATTCTCTCCTACTGATTGTTATATGAAATTGCTATTTGTTTGGTTGATTTCTAGTTAATTCATTGCTTGATAGCTTTAGGTAGTAAATTAGTGACTTCTATATTTTGTGAAAAATCTCTTGAATCAATAAGTTAATTGAGTTTGAATCAGTCAATAGTTAATCACAAGTCTTCGTGGGAACGATACTCTACTCACTACTTTACTACTTGACGATCGCGTACACTTGCGTGGGTGTTTTTAGTCGCAACACCATACAACAACAGTAACATACGCAGCAGAATTTTACAAGATGGGGGTGTACGCAGACCTTATCTTTACCTTGTGTAAGGCAGAGAAGTTATTTATGATAGAATCTCAGCTCAAAAAAAGTGTTTCTAAAATAGGTTTGAAAAATACAAAAAGAAAATACTATATATATACTGACAAGCTTTTGAGTGATGTAAATACTAAGACTCTAATGGCATGAAAGCTCCATGAAATCCGTATGGCACCCTACTTGGTAATGTGATTATGGCAACTGGCTCATTCGTAAATTTCTTTGCATCAACTATATAAACCTGCAACAAAGAAATTAATAGGCGTGGATTAATTAGCTTTCAATTCCAGTACTGTATTTTCACAAATATATAAAGAAAAAAAGAGCTCGTCAAGCAAATTTTTACATACTTGAGAAATATTTTCATTTTCATTATGCGTAAATGTGATGATCCAACCATCGTCCTCGTCGACGCCTCCAGGTTTTGGAACAAAGGAAGCTCCAGAACAAAAGGTGTTCTGCGGCAACATGTGATATTCAGCTTTAATCAATTCATCTTCTTCCTCCTATATATATTTCCCAATTCCAAAGTCAAAAAATTTGGTCACGGAAATAGATTAATTAGTATATGAAAGTACTAGCACTTTTTGTCCTCTCTATATTATATTGTATAGTATACATAAATAATTACCGTAGGGATTCTTTTTTCTTCAAAATGAAGCTTGGCTACTCCTCCAAATCTTGTGAATCCTGTTAAAATTTATAGTATTATGAGTCACAAGCTCTAATTATTTCCAAGAAAAGTAACAAGGCTGTCGAAATTTATACCTGAGCCAGATATTTCTGTTGACTCAACAACTTGTAGATAAGCAAACTTATTTCTAAATCCAGTGAACTTTTCATTGATCAAAGGGAATTCCATTGCAAACTCGTCACCAGATAGATTCTTCTTCTCTCTAACTTCTCCAGTTTTCATGTTCAATCTCCATTCACAAACACGAGGAAAAGTTGATTCTTTGGTGAATTCAATTCTTTCATCTTTGGAACTTCTTCCCTTTAACCATTTCTCAAAGTGGTTGACTCTAGAATTAGGTCCAGGTATAACTGATTGACGAGCTCTACATGCTCTCACCACCACCTTTGCAAAAGAGCATTTCGATTAAATACTGTAGTTGGTTCACGTAAAATAAAATAGAACAAGATTTAACTCCTATACACTAACAGCCTAATGCAATTTTTACACTATCATAATTTAACATCATGTACAAAGTTAAATGACATATTTTTTAGGTTACTAATTTTACTTTTGTGGGTAGTTACATGTAAGTAACTACTTTCAAGTGACCTGATAGTGTTGAAAATCATATTAAAAGTATAGAAGTTAGACTTGGTAAAACATCTTGAATCAAGATAAAAATATTTAAGTACCTCATCATTATCTTCGAAGCAGTTAATGATGTGAAATACACAACAAGGTTCGACTTCAAACCATTTGATGGAATTGGCATCCCCATAGCGTGGCATTATACCAATTCTTGCGTATCCGTTTTCTTCAAACCTCATTAACCTACATATATAATCACAATATATAGCAGATGTAATTAATAAACTAGGCTTGTCATTAAATCAATGTAAATCTCGAGTGAAAAGAAAAAAACATTTACACTTACGAGCCTCCCAGAACAAGTCGACTTATGTCAATAGTTAGTGGGAAATTCATGATCACATTGTATCTACATGTTTGAGATCATAGGATACCAAGTTAGCTATGGATAAGTAAAAAATTACTATCATATAATTTTAAAATTAGCAAATAATTTTACCTTTGTGTGACTCCTATTTCATGGCAAACTGTACACCTATCGAACATGAGATCCGCTTTGTGAACCATTTTCTTTCCATCAGCTGAAAGGGGGTTGACGAAGATTTAAAACATAGGTCTTCGTTCGAAATCTTGATTCTTAACAAATTAAATCCAATTAAATATGAAGAAAAACATATATAGGGAGATAAGGTACCTGAAATCACACCAAGTTCAAAATAAGGCTTTTGTGCATCAATACCTATTACAACAAGTTCTCCTGTGCCAGGTGCTTTCTGCGTATTAATGTAAGAAATCCACAACAAAAAAGGATTAAGTAGGGATACGTAATAGATATCTTTTAAGAAGTATGTTATTGTATTTTATTGTATAAATGACTTATATATGTTTTTGTCTTTGCATCAATGTATACCTTGGGGTGGCTTGTGAATGGTCTGGTCCAAGATCCACTTATAACATTCCAATTTTCCAGTGTTTCTAGGGAATGTATGTCGATCTCTTGAGGCATATGGTTCTCAGCAATTGAGTAATATTTCTTTGCATGTTCAAATACATTAGTATTGCTCAGGTATTTGTCTATCACGCCAAACCTCAACTGCAAATCAAAGACGTTACTGCTCAAATCATCTCTTGCCATCATATAAATTTCTAAATTTAGTATCATATATATGCTTGCAGAGTGAAATACAATGGGTTCTGAAGCATTTGGAGGAGTCTATGCTGTGATACTATGCAAAGTAGAAAAATGAGCTGGGTCAGGAGAACCTACTAAAATGATAACAAAAGAGTTGGGCTAATTTGTCATTGGTTATGAACCTGTACTTAAGTAAAAATTAATCCAACACCAGGACGAAATTTAATTTACATGACATGGATATCTTATTTAATTATAACGTAAACCCTAATCTAACCAGTTCTCCTTAAAATGTGTAGATGTATCACAACTTATTTGACGTATAAAAGTACCTCTTCTAGTGCGAGTTTATTAGTTCATATGACTTAACTCCCTTGAAAAATATTGGCGTATTGTTTGAAACAACTTTTTACCAACAACCATAATTAACATTGGTGGTAAATTTTAACAAAAGGCAACAACTTGATTTTGTTGGCAAACATTACAATATTGTTCCCAATTGCCCTAAACTTAGTATACGTAGGTTTTTTGCTGGAGTATTACTAGTACATACCACATTTAGAAGGTACGCCAGTAAGACAGCAGGAGAATCGCCTTCAATAGCAGGAAGAAAACCTGGTTTTTTTCTATCCTTTTCCATTTTGTAAGTATCTGTTTGGACATGTTTGTTCTTGTACAATATATTCCAGCTGCCCCTAATTCTTCCATTTTTCTTCAAGTACAACGCGTGAAGCATTCCTTCTCCTTCAACCCACATATGGTCTGATTCACCAAATATAGATCTTGTCGATTTTAGCCCTCCAAACAGAGGGTTTGGGCCTGCAATAATGCTCCACACCATATATATATATATAAGTGAACCATTGTTATAAGTATTTGTAAATACTGAGTTGTATTTGATCTTTCAAGCGAGTTATTGAAACACTGGGTTTCCCTCCCAAAATATTTAACTAAGCTTTCACGCGCACAAAAAAAATCAAGTGAAGTTTATGTCCAAACAAATTAAGTTTCAATTTCCAATTTTTTTTTTTTAAAATTCTTCTTCAAATACTTTTCCAATCTTAACTCAAATATTGTCCAGACGCTTAGTAATTACTTTTTTGTAAAATGTTGTATTATGAAAGGGTTTACTTGATGTGGTATTATTGTATTACAGATAGTTTAGACTATTTAATGATCGTTAATTAGAGATTAAATACTAGTTTGTAAAGGGTATAAATAGGAGTCGATTGTACAGTGTTTGGGTGGTTAATAACAGAATATCACTTTTCTCATTTCTTCCTTCTTTGCTAATCTTCTTTCTTCCGCTCTTCTAGCTAGGGTTTGCTCCATCAGATCCATAGATTTAACATGGTATCAGGGCAACTAGTTTGGAAAATTCTAGTCTCGTTTATTGATCCGCATTGCTATTTAGTGAAATTTGTGAGTTCATACAATCAATCAAACAACGAAGTTCTCGTCAATTGAAGCAGTAGCCATGGGAGACGATGTTGAAAATATTTTGACTAATATTGCTACATGTGTAGATGCAAGTGTTGGTGGTAGTACTCAAGCTAACGAAGAATTTGGAGTCGATTTGCCTCACAATCACCCGTTGTGTCTTCGATCTTCCGATACGAGTGGAGCTCAACTGATCTCGTTTGAACTAATAGGTATGAATAACTATACTATATGGAATCGTTCTATGAGGATAGCTTTGCGAGGAATAAGTTAGGACTTGTAGAAGGAACATGGAAAAAGGAGAAATTTCGTGAAAATCTATGGGAACAATGAGAGATGTGCAATGCAATTGTACTTTCATGGCTAATGAATGTAGTAACTCCACAACTTGTTGGAGGAGTGGTGTTTGTGTGGGGTCCAGTCCTCAAATAATAAGTGAAAAAAGAAGAAGAAGAAATAGTGATTGGTTGAAAGAAAGGCAAATGGTGGGCTTTGCAGAACAATTTGCAAAACCAATTTGGAATTGGTTTTGGGCGTTGCCATCTTACAACTTGCAACGAACCAAACAACCTGATTGGTTCCTTGGGTGGCCATCTACTGCTATAAATAGCAGCTGCATTTCTCATTGTAAACACCAAAATGAGAGAGAAGCAACTGAAGCTAAAGAGAGTAATCCATAGATTGTAGTCTGTGAGATAAATAGTGAGTGTGAGTAATATTATAGTGAGGTGTTTAAAATAAAAAGTGTTATTTCTTTCGAAGTTGTAGTAGTCTCTTGGCACTACTATGTTGTAATATTATAGTGGTAATATTGCTTCGCTCGAGTATTGTATTTTACCCCGTCAAAAGATTTGATATCTTTGTTACTCTCTTGTGTTATTGTTATATATCGTGGATATTATTCCTGTGCGGGATATTATTTTTTTTCCAACAACGTGGTATTAGAGCCATGGTGAATAATTGGTCCACTATCTTTTCAGTACTTCCGTCTCATAAAAGATAATTATAAGAAATGGTGTCTACGTATGAAAGCCATTCTTGGCTCCCAAGATGTGTGAGAAATCGTAGACAGAGGGTATGCAAAATTCGATGATGAGGAAGCTTTGCCTCAAAATGAAAAAGATGTCTTGGAAAAGACAAGGAAGAAGGATCAACAAGCCCTCACGCTCATCCACCAATATCTGGATGATGCCATGTTTGAGAAGGTGGCAGATGCTACTACCTCAAAGTAAGCTTGGAAGATTTTACAAAATTCTCTTCAAAGAGTTGACAAGGTGAGGAAGGTAAAACTTCAAACTCTAAGGGCTGATTTTGAAGTTTTAAAAATGAAAGAATCCGAATGCATTTCGGATTATTGTACAAAAGTGAAGGTTGTTGTAAATCAATTAAGAAGATACGGGGATGACATAGAAGATGTCCGTGTGGTAGAAAAGATCTTTCGCACTTTAACACCTAAATTTGATTTTATAGTGTGTGCTATTAAGGAGTCTAAATATTTAGACTCAATGATTGTGGAGAAATTGGAGGGTTCTTTACAGGCCCACGAAGAAAAGGTCAAGAGGATACAAGAAGTACCATTGGAGCAACTTCTTAAAACTCAAGCATCCTTCAAGGATTATGGAGGTGAAAAGAGCTATGGAGGAAACGGACGAGGACGAGGCAGTGGTGGTCATGAAAGAGGAAGAAGTAATAGTAACAACTTAAACAATGAAGTTAAAATCCACCAAACATTCAGAGGTCGTGCTCGTGGACAAAGAGGAGGAAGAGGACGTGACTACTACCAAGAAAATAATGGACAAAGGTATGGCAAATAAAAAATTGAGTGTCATAATTGTCAAGAATTTGGCCATTACTCTTGGGAATATCGTAGAAATATTGAAGAAAAAACTAACCTTGTTTACAACAATAAAGAAGAAGTTGAATCAACGTTGTTGATGACACTCAAGGAAGAAGATATGGATGATTGTAGCTCGTGGTATTTGGACAATTCTGCAAACAATCATATGTGTGGATGCAAAGAAAAGTTTGTGGAGATAAATAAAATGGTGAGAGGTAATGTGTCCTTTGGAGATACCTCAAAAATTCAAATCGAAAGGATATGTACGATTCTGATCTCCTGTAAAAATGGTGACCACAAGTTAATTCAAGATGTTTATTATGTCCCAAAATTAAAAGGTAATATTTTGAGTTTGGGTCAACTTCTTGAAAAATAATATGACATCCACATGAAAAATATGCATCTTTGGCTTAGAGATTAAAGTGGAGTTCTAATTGCTGAAGTGCATATGGAAAAGAATAGATTATTTTCTTGAATCTTAAGACAATTGATGCAAAGTGTTTGAAGGCTAATGTGCAAGATGAATCATTGTATTGGCACACACGATTTGGGCACTTGAATTTTGAAGCACTCAAAACAATGGGAGAAAAGAACATGGTGCATTTGATACCATCAATCAACCATCCAATCAATTGTGTGAAGCTTGTCTTCTTGAAAAATATGCAAGGAGGAGTTTTCCAAAAGAGGCCATGTCAAGATCAACCAAGCCTCTCTAGCTTATTCATAGTGATGTGTGTGGACTAATCAATCCACCTTCCTTTGGTAAAAGTAAATACTTTCTGCTTTTCATTGATGACTTTAGTAGAAAGACTTGGGTTTATTTCTTGAACCAAAAATCTGAAGCTTTTGCTGCTTTTAAAAATTTCAAAGTACTTGTAGAGAAATAAAGTGTCTATGAAATTAAAGCTTTAATGTCTGATAGAGGAGGCAAATTCACTTCAAAAGAATTTAATGACTTCTTTCAGTCTCATGAAATTCATCGCCCTCTAACGGTACCTTATTCACCCCAATAAAATGGAGTTGTAGAGAGAAAGAATTGAACAATTCTTAATATGGCTAGATGTATGCTGAAAGCTAAAGTATGCCCAAGGAATTTTGGGGCGAAGCTATTTCTTGTGCAATTTATTTGAACAACAGGTCTCCAAGAAGAAATGTTAGAGATCAAACCCCTCAAGATGCATGGAGTGGAAGAAATCCAAGTGTCAAGCACCCGAGAATCTTTGGGAGCATAGCCTATGCTCATGTGCCACATCAAGGGAGAGCAAAACTTGACAATCGAAGTGTCAAACATGTGTTTGTTGGCTATGATACGAGTTCAAAAGGCTACAAGTTATACAACCCAAATAGTGGCAAGGTGGTAGTAAGTCACGATGTTGAATTTGATGAAGAATTGGCATGGGATTGGGAAGCTCAGGAAGAACTTTCATATGATTTTCTTCCATACTTTGGTGATGAAGAAGAACCAGAGACCGTGGAACTTGTGCAGGATACAACTTCACCTCCTTCTCCAATCAATGTTGCATTTCCCTCTTCTCAATAAAGTTCAAATGAACAGCCGCAAAGGACAAGGAGTATTCAAGAGCTCTATGAGGACACATAAGAAGTTACTAATTTTGATTTTTTATGTTGTCTCTTTGCTGATGGTAAACCAATGAACTTTGATGAAGCTTTTACAATTAAAAGGTGGAGGCAAGCAATGGAGGAGGAGATTGAGTAAATAGAGAAGAACAACACTTGGTAGTTACAACTCTTCCCAAGGGTCATCGAGCAATTGGAGTGAAATGGGCATACAAGATAAAGAAGAATACTGATGGAGATGTGGAGAGATACAAGTCACGACTTATGGATAAAGGCTACAAGCAAAGACAAGGCATTTACTATGAAGAAGTCTATGCACCTGTTGCCCGTATAAAGATGATTCGTTTGCTGATCTTTTTGGTGGCACAAATGAAGTGGAAGAATCATCAACTAGATGTCAAGTCAGCCTTCTTGAATGATTATCTTGAAGAAGAAGTCTATGTTGAACAATCATTGGGCTTCGTGGTCAAAAACTATGAAGATAAAATGTTGCGGTTGAAGAAAGCTTTATATGGATTAAAGCAAGCCCCACAAGCATGGAATAGTTGCATCAACAAGTATTTTCACGACAATGAGTTTACTCGTTGTCTCTATGAATATGCTCTTTACCTTAAAGTTCATATTAATGGAGATATCTTACTTATTTGTCTTTATGTTGATAATCTTATTTTCACGGGTAATAACCCAAGTTTGTTTAAAGCTTTTAAGAAAGATATGTCCTGTGAGTTCGAGATGACAGATGTAGGGCTCACGTCATATTACTTGGGCCTAGAAGTAAAGCAGATGGTGAAATTTTCATCTCTCAAGAAAGCTATACAAAAGAGATATTGAAGAAGTTCAACATGCTCGATTGCAACCCCGTGAACACACCGGTGGAAAGTGGAACAAAATTGTCCAAGTTTGATGAAGGAGAAAAGATGGAACCCACATTTTTCAAAAGTTTTGTGGGTAGTTTAAGGTACTTGACTTGTACCAGGCCAGATATACTCTTTGCAGTTGGAGTAGTAAGCCGCTTCATGGAAGCTCCTAGCTCCACTCACTTAAAAGTCGCTAGAAGAATTCTTCGCTACCTAAAAGGTACGATTGATTTTGGGCTATTTTATTCTTCTTCTAGTGATTTCAATCTTATGGGATTTTGTGATAGTGATTATGTGGGAGATATTGATGATAGAAAAAGTACATCTGGTTTTGTATTTTTCTTGGGCGATTCTGTTATTTCTTAGAGTTCAAAGAAAAAATCAATTGTTACTCTCTCGACTTGTGGAACTGAATATATAGCAGCAACATCTTGTACCTGTCATGCTAATTGGCTGAGAAGATTATTGAAAGAGCTCAATTTACCACAAATTAAAGCTACAGAGATTTGTATTGACAATAAATCCGAACATGCACTTGCCAAGAATCCAGTGTATCATGATCGAAGCAAGCATATAGATACAATGTATCACTTCATCATAATGCATTGCCAATAAGAAAGTCGAGCTCAAATATGTGAAGTCTCATGATCAAGTTGCAAATAGTTTTTACCAAACCTCTCAAGTTTGAAGATTTTCAGAGATTGAGATCAAGACATGAAATGAAGAAAAAAAATCAAAATTAAGGGAGAGATTTGTGGGGTTCAGTCCTCAAATAATAACTGAAAAATAAAAAGAAAAAATAGCGATTGGTTGAAAGAAAGGCAAATGGTGGGCTCTGCAGAACAATTTGTAAAACCAATTTGGAATCGATTTTGGGCGTTGCAACACAAACCAAACAACCTGATTGGTTCCTTGGGTGGCCATCTACTGCTATAAATAGCCTCATTGTAAACACAACAAAACGAGAGAGAAGTAACTGAAGTTAGAGAGAGTAATCCACATATTGTAGTCTGTGAGATAAATAGTGAGTGTGAGTAATATTGTAGTGTTTAAAATAAAGAGTGTTATTTCTTTCGAAGTTGTAGTAGTCTCTTGACACTACTAAGTTGTAATATTATAATGGTAATATTGCTCCGCTCAGGTATTGTATTTTACTCCAAAAGATTTGGTGCCTTTGTTACTCTCTTGTATATTATTATTTATCGTGGATATTATTCCTGGGCAGAATATTATTTTTTTCCGAACAATTTAGAGCTAGTGCACAAGCTGTTTGGGAAGATCCAAGAGAGAAATTTAATAAGGTAGAAGGCTCTAGGTTTTTCAATTTGCACAAAGAGATTGCAACATTATACCAGGGCATTTCCTCTGTTTTAGTCTATTATACTAAAATGAAGGACCTCTGGGATGAATTTGAGGCATTAGTACCAGCGTCCTATGACTGTGAGAAATCTAGAGATTATGTTGCCTTTATGAAGAGACAAAAGTTGTATCAATTTCTTATGGGATTGAATGACTTCTATGCTCAAGCAAGAAGCCAGATTTTGCTAATGAACCCTTTACTTACGGTCAATGAGGCATTTCAATGATTATGAGTGATGAAAATCAAAAGTCTATAGCTGCTACAGCAGAAGTCTGGGATTAAACTTTCTTTTTTCATCTTTTTCCTTTTTTATTACTTTTTCCCTAAATGGCATATTGTCAATCCGTACAAAGATATATATATANCCCTCTGGAAAATCATCCGGAATCGTTCCTTCAACTCTAGTTACTGACAATGTAGATTCTCCGATCTCTTCCACTGGTGCAAAATTACGCTGTGAAAATTAATTGCATATATTAGTGGTTCAAAAATCCCTCCTGTGCTAAGAAACAAAGTTAGAAGATACAGGATTTGTTTAGTACGAAGCAAAATATTTTTCACGAAAAATATTTTCATGAAAAATGAGTGGTTTTATGATTTATTTTTCATTGTTTGTTTGGTGAATAAAATTTTTTTTCCAAAAAATATTTTCTAGTGTTTGATTAAAGAGTAGAAAATATTATTTTAAGGAAATATTTTTGTATGCTACTCTCCTCATCCCCTCCTCCCTCAAAGTCCTCATATTTCCTTGCTCGCAACCACCCCCAACTACCCAACGTTTTCAAAAATCTATTTTCTTCAAAGAATTTAATTATTCTTCTAAAATTCACACAAACCCAAATAAACTAATGCGTTACTTTATTTTTTAACCCAAAATAACGTTAAAATTTGTGCTCCATAACTAAAAAGAAAATACTCTTTTTTATTGTTGTTGTAAAAAAATGTACACTTTCTACAAAATGAAAATAAAGTACTCATTTTATTGAAATAAAAGAAAATACTTTTTCTACATCCTGAAAAGAAAATATCCATTTTGTTGAAATAAAAGAAAATACTTTTTCAATGAAAAGAAAATATTTTTTTTGTTTAAATAAAACAAATATTTTTTTATATCATGTAAAAAAATGCTCATATGTTGAAATGCAAAAAGAAATCTATCTGTAACATGAAAAAAGAAGCACATGAGTCATGACTGGAAGCTACAGTTGCAATTGTCTTCTTCTTTTTTTAACAGCGGATATTGGCATTGGAAAATTACCTGAGACGGGAGTAATGGTTGGTCAGCGAATTCAAATATGAAGTCAACAAAAGCGTCCAATAATTTGCAAGAAGTCTCCTTGATAGCTTTTGTAACGTCCACGGAAATATTTGGAAACTGATCCAAGTCCCTCAATAATGGCTGTTCATGTCCAAATGATGCAAGTTATGAGCTTGTCTTTAGCAAATTAGGTGGTCAATTTGATAACAATAACCCAGAAAAGGATTTGAGAACAATGACCCATCTTAGCTAATTATACAACGGAATCTTCATACAAATAGCCAATCGGATTTACTGTTTATTTTTTCTATAACCAATATATATATATATNATTTAAGTGGTTAGGTATACAGACTATTTGAATTAATTCTTCTTGTACTACATACATATTCATGGTCTTTTTTGTGTCCATAGAAAGCAAAACGCGGAGGTGAAGTCAGTAGTTAGGGGGATTTGGTTGTGGACGTATTCACTCTTTTTTTTGTTTATTAGGTCCGAGGTGAAGTGAGCAGGGACTGTAAACTTTATTACAGTATATGCATACCACCGTTTGACATACAAATGCATACTTTCAAGGACCGATCGACATAATTTTAACTTGCGTTTTGAGGTTTTTGGTATTTAATTTGTTATATTTCTAAAATAATAAGTTCATATCAAATATTTATTGAAATTTTAGTAGATTTTCACATATACGTCATGCTCTATGTTGAAAATACTGAGTTTGGACGAGCCATTTGGCGAAGGTGTATATTCGCCCCTGCATACGTTTTATCTAAATATACACATCTACCTATTTGTAATTTTTCTAACCTGTTACATATATAAGAGTAGTATGTAGTTAATAAAATCCACGGACTCAAGGGTGCAAATTCATAAGTAATAAGCATAAAAAATTATTGTATGTCAAATGACATAATAGTGTTAGTTTTAGAAAATGGAATGTCGAATTTTTTGCATGGATCAGAACTAATTGGATATGTAATTAACCGGATTGATAGTGTTAGGTGTTGTTCTGGTTTTTTTTATTATAATTAGTTTTCCTATTTCATGATGGAAAGGACAATATATTTACTATAATTGAGTTTTTCTTTTCCTAGAAGGAAAATATAATTCTTTCATATTTGGCTAATCCATTTTCTTGTAGGAAAATATTTGGAGTTCTATCAATTGAAGATCCGTCCTTCTCATTAAGCAGCATCCATAATGTGGCCATATGGGGTTTGAGAGTCGTGTTTAGGCGGAGAACTTTACGAGACAAGTGTTATTGTGTCACTTGTGTTTGCCTCTTCGTGAGGTTGTTCTCTCTATATTTTGTACTCTCTTTTATACAGTGGATTGCTCATCTCCGTCGTGGATGTAGGTTAATTGACCGAACCACGTTATATGTTTGCGTCTCTTTTGGTAGATTTCTCTTTTGTTGTCGGACTTATCGTCGTTCAAGGTTTACTTTACTAGCTTCCGCATGACACCTGATTCATTTCGATCCTAACAGATAGTATATTTGGCCAAGTTGCAAAAATCAGCTTATTTTGAGAAGTGTTTTTTCTCAAAAATGCTTTTTTCAAAAGTACTTTTGGTGAGAAACAATTTGTGTTTGGCTAATTTATTTGAAAAGCACTTCTGAGCAACAATTAGTGTTTGACCAAGTTTTTAAAAAGTGCCTCTAAATGTATTTTTTGAAAAGTGTTTTTCAAAAAAACACTCTTAGAGCAAAACTATTTTTTTCTGGTTCTTCAAAACTGCTTCTGCTTCGACTCAAAAGTACTTTTTTCCCTCTAAAAGCTTGGCCTAACACTACAATTTTAGAAAAAAGTACAATTTTAGAATAAAAAAAAATGCTTTTTACTTGGAGAACTGGGCCAAACAGACCATAAGTTACAATTTTGAAATTAGAGTGAAAGAGTAAGAAAAAAATGTGTAAGCACTCCAGCACAATAAAGACAGCTCTTTTGCATCGCCTTAACTTGGTTGAGGAGTGGGCCGAGAGCTCGGAGATCTAGCTGAGCACAGTGGCACTAATGACTAACAGAGAATCTGGACAGTACATGCCGAGCAGGAATAGTCATGGCCCCATATTGGCTAACCTATAATAATAGCTATGCAGTGTGATACGTGACTAGTGAAATAAGTTAGTCAGAGTAACCAAGTTGCTTTAATGTTTTTTCACTTAATTAATGTCCTCGAAAATGTGTCAAAGACATAGTACTAGTATTATTTCTATTCAATAGTATGATTCATTTTTCTTTGCCAATATACCTTTAACACCCCCTAAACTTGTCACGAATTATTAGTTATAATCTTAAATTATTCGTGATCTTAATTATCCTCCAACTTGGCCTTTCGAAAGCCATTACCCCCTGGACGCTGATGTGGTAAAGAGTGTGAGTGCACTCACCTGCCACGTGGATTTTTTTTTTGTATATGTAGCATCTTTTGTAAAAAATAAAATATATTTTTATCTTTTTAAATATGTTACTTTTTTAGATAATTTTTTTCGAATAAAATTTACAATAAAACTTGGATAGAACTACATTATTTAATCATTTGGCTAAAAATAATAAAGTTTTAGTTAATCTTTTTTTGAATTTGACCTGAAAATAAAGATTTATACAATTGAAATAAATAGTCAAGACATCTAAAAAGTTATTAAAATACATAGTTTGAAATTAATTATTTTGGCTATAATTTTTTATATAGCACTAAATTATGGTGCTCTAAATATTATTAAAATACATAATTTTTTGTTTTACTTTTAATGAGATGATTTGTAGTCATGCAAATATTTATAGCTTAATTTAGATACAAGGTTTTTTTTAAATCTTAATTTTTATACCAGTCAAATTGAATCACATAAAACGGAATGGAGAGAGTAGTAATATTATTGACAAAAAGGAATACTAGTTTGTATGATGAATAAAGCTTATCCAGAAAGAACGTCACAAAAAATGTTGAACCAAGAGGATAGTTTACCTTGAAACTAGTTGAGAGTGGGTTACTGAAATGCTCAATTTTGTGTGGAAGTGAAGGCCTTTGCAAAGAGCATTTGTTCACTTGAAGTGCATAACTATAAGCAGCCATCTCTCTTCCAAGCTAGAAATAATAATAATAATGCAACACTATGTACTATATGTCTTAATGCCGAAAAAGGGCAAACAAGGAAAAGAAATAGACAATGTGTTAAGAGTTAGAGATATTTATAGATAGAGCATCATACCTCCATCTAAAGAGACATCTACTATTTGCGTTATGGATCAGTTGCACAATAGAAAGTGACATTGCTAACAACTAATATGACCAGACACTAGTTGACGGTGTCTTTTGACGTTACAAGCATAGGTCAAATTGAAGTTTATGAATTTTAAATTTACCGAGGAGCTTATAGCTTGTTTTAGTAGTAGCTCCACTCCTCTGCATAGTAGTTATGATAAGGTACATTTGGGACATTCGTTTTTTTATTGAATTACTGAATGCTAGTTTTAGTTGAGTAACTTTTAGCAATCTTTAAGAGTAAATCTGAGATGACTATTACAGGTTAGCATGAATGAACTGTCGGTTGTTTTTCTTTTCGATTGAGGGAAGGAGAGAGAAAGGAAGTGTTAGATGTTTTCAGCTCAATTTTATCACTTGGGACTAAATAGATAAAAATCTTCATAATCGTCCAATCTAAGGTAAAAAACAGCTCCTCAGACCAACTTGGTTAGAAAAATAGAAAATAAAATAAGAAAACAAAAGCTGTATATACCTTGACTTGTTTCCATCATTATAATTGGTCCGACTTGGCAACTATACCATACCAATTATTGATAGAATTATTAACTGGGAACCTGTGTAACCAATGAATTGAAGAGAGAGGGGGAGGGGGAAGACAATACATTCTCTATTTTTCCAACTTTGACCATGGAAATATATATATGGGTTTTGCTAAACTATTATAATCACCTACTACATAATTATAGTAGGTTAGCATTGTGTACATCTTTTGATTCTCTAAAATACCCTTAATATTTTCTACTACCTCATTAAATGTAAGGACTCTTTTGTCTTTTCACCAAAAATTCCACCATTTTTTCTACAACTCTCACTAGATACATATCAAAGCCCTCTCAGCAGATTCTCATTAATTTCTATTGCCACTAAAGAACATTGTATGAAACGGAACGGGACATTAAGCAATCTAAAGCTTTTCTTCCTAGTCCAGCTGGCACCATTGTTTAACCAAAAATCGATATTTCAGCCAAAGCTTATTTTAGAAGAACTCGGGCTACTGATAATCAAATATAAATTAGAATAATTAATAAATAATAGCTGAATATAAAAGCAAAGTAAATCAATATATTCCAATAATATTTCGTGTCCTTTACAAATGATCAGTCCTCTCCTTTTATAGCTATCTCTAGGTAATACGTTTTGTTTCTATCATAATAGAGCCATTATTGATAATTAATGGCATTTAATGTAACGTTATAATTGATAAACATATTTGATTCAATACAGATTCTCTAACATTTTTCGTAATTAATGCCTATTAATTTATATGTATCTATACCCCTTTTTTGCTATCAGATTCATTCTCTTAATACGACCCTCGAACATCAAGAGGTTCGAGCATCTATCCTTTCTGCTTTTTCTTGAACCTCTGCCCGTGCCTATTGAAGCTCGTGCCTCTTTAATTATTCTCTGCCAATTGTTATCCTTTGACCAGTCCACGTGTCATGACATGTCACCTTACAATCAGTTATATATTCGAACTTAGTTTTTCCCAATACAGATAGTCCTCCAACTTGCCATTTATTCATCAATAGAATATTTGGGAAGTGGATCTCATTAAAGCGGAATATTTGCCGCCATTAATTCTTCTCTGGAACTGACGTTTCATCTGTTACTTCAATTTAATGTCCGCGACACGTGGCATCTCCTGGTTGGTTCTGCAATTTTTCAGCGTCTTTTAAGGCTTTTTTACGGCTTCACCAATTACGAAACGACAGTTCTCATTATGACGTTTCCATCATTGCACCTTTTCCTTTGACGGTTGCTTCTGACTATAAATATAACTTTTCACCTTTGTCTTTTTCACAAAAGGTTTAGAATATTCAATTGTTGTCTTCTTCTTCCTCGTACTACTATGTCTTCTTCAAACCCTAACCCTCAGAGAGTCCTCATCGTTGATAACCTTCCTCTTGCTCTTGTTAGAAGTAGGATAGGAGAAAGACTTCGTAGTCTAGGATCTTCATCTTCACAAGGCCCTTCTATTCCTTCAACGAGTTCTAGTCCACCTTCTAGAACCAGATGTTCTCTTTCTCAAAGATCTTCATCTAAAAATAAAGAACCCACTGAACCTCTTCGTGAACCTTTAGTAGATGAAATTGTTCCTGCTGAACTATCTTTTTACAATGATAGAGAGTCCATCAGAAACCAAGTTTCTTCTATGTCTTCATTAGATCGTGCTGACATTTACCCGACTCAGATCACTGAAGGTTTGATTTCTATGGTTCGTAGAGATTGCTAGTGAAGTCATGATTTCCCTATCATAATCCCCAATGTGAACCAAAGAATCACTTCTTACTTGACTGGGTTTCTTTCGTATATACATACCCTTTCACATTAAATTTCAAGCCTCCTATTGACCCTGTTATCATCGAATTCTGTCGCTATTTCGATATTTGCTTAGGACAAATTGGCCCCATCGTGTGGAGGACTGTTGCTTGTTTGAGGCATTTGGCCAACATGGCTGGCATGCCTTTTATACTTTTTTCCATTTAATCCATCTTTATTCTCCCAAAGTCTTTCGCCAAGGAATTTTTACTTTAGTAGCGAGAAGTAAAAGAGTTCTGGTCAGCCCAGAGGATGATAAGGACCGTGGATGGTATGCCAGGTTTGTTGCTGCCCCCACTGTTGGTTTAGTGGGTGAAGAGAATGTGCCATTTCTTGAGAAGTGGAATTTTTCACGTGAGTTTTCTTTTTTGTAACTTTCCTATACCTTTTTCTCAATTTTGATGGTTGTCATTTTAACTTCCTCTTCTTTTCAGCAACCATAGGAACTGTTGATGAGATTTTCAATTTTTGTGGTTGGGTAGGAAAGCTGTTAAGTGTTGCTCCGATGGAAGGTAGATCCTGGAAAAAACTTTCTCATCGGTTTGGTTGGAAAGTGAAAACTCACGGTAAGTGATTTTTTCTTTATATCCTTTGTATTTCCGTTCACTTCTTTCCTTAGAATTATTTTGATCCTTCTTTTTGTTAGGATTTCCCATTCGAGGCATAAGCGCTGAGGCCGTCGTAGCTTCCAGAATTTCTTTAGAAAGAGCCCAAGAAATAATTTTGGGTTCTTCATCGAAAAGGAAAGCTTCTACTGACCAAGACTCTGAAGAAGAGGAAGAACAAGATGGGGGTTCTTTGATAAAAAAGCCACGAGCTAGAAGATGTATTATTTCAGATGATAAAGCATCCCCCCCGTTCTGTTCCTCTAACCGAGCCTGTTGAAGCAACCTTGGTGATTTCCGATGACGATATTCCCGCGACTGCTTGTGATTCTATTGATCAGCTTTTTGCTCATGGGTTTGGTAATGAAAGTTTGGGTCCAATTTCTGATGAAGTGCCCCTTGCCTCATTTTCCATGTCTACTCCTGTGATATCTTCTCTTCCAGTTGTAACTGTTTCCGTTGCTGCTTCGCCCCAAGCTGTTTTGACTCCTTCCACAGTTCCTCCTACAATTGGTCATCACACTGAGGTTGGTTCCTCAAGTGGAAGTGGAGCTATGAAACAAGTTATCATCTAGGTTCCTGCTAATGGTAATATTTTGAGAAAATCAGGTCGGGCTAATGTGTGGTTGAAACCCCTGATTGGTCCAATCGAGAGATCCAAGCTTGAGAGTCAAACTCTTTGACTTGGATGAATGACATAGTGCAGTCATCATTAAAGGTATTCCTTCTAATGCTTTATTATTCCTTTCTTTTATTAATGTTCTTACCCTTCCTCTCTTTTTTTAGATCAACTTTGTTGGTACAGAAATGATGAAGAAGGTTTCCCACACGGAGCAGTTAATGCACGATTACCAGGCTTCAGTCGCGAGATCCATGCTTTATGAAAGCCTTCAAATTGATATGGAAGTGGTAGAAGAGAGCAAGTGCACCTTAGAGCAGCAGTTGAAGGTTTTAAATTCAGAGTTGGTAGTTGAAAAGGCTTCCTCAAACCAGGCTGGCAAAGACAAGAATCTCCTTGAAACATCTTTTTCCGAGCAACTCTCCAAGGCTAGTGAAGAGATCAGAGAGTTGAAGGCTTTGTTAAGTGAGAAAGAAGTGTATTCCGGTGAACTGTGCAAACTTTGACTCAGACTCAAGAAGACCTCCGTAAGTCTTCTGATAAGGTCCGTTCCTTAGAAAGTTCACGTGCTTCTCTTCAAACTTCTTACGATTCTTCCTTGGCTGAGAATACAAAGCTCAAAAGTGAAATTGATTAGTGGGAGAAAGATTACGAAATTCTTGAGGACAAGACCGCAATTGAAGTGAGTTGGGCATTTTTAAATACTCGCCATGATACCTTTGTAGAAGCTAGCCAGGAGGGCTTTAACTTGGAGGCTGAATTAGCTAAGATAAAAGAAACTATTGAAAAGACTCAGCAAGGCCAAAACTTTCCCTCTCCCATGGCTGATATTTCTGAACATATTGAAGATTATATGGGTACGGTGAATGTTCCAACTCCTTCAAGCCAACTTGACTCTACTGCTGCTGGTGACCCTGCTTTGGCTCCTTCTTCAATTCCTCAGTGACAAGTTTTAAGGAATGTGACTTCTTTTTTTTTCTTTTTTTTGGTGGAATGTGGTTATAACCCTTGGTCCCATTTGGGGGTTTAGTTTTTTGAAAACAACAAGTCCCCAGACCTTTTCGGGGCATTTTGTATAAATGACCAATAGTTTATGTCTAAGTTTATACTTAGTCTAAACTTTTCAACATTAAAAAGTTTTCCATTTTGACTTAGTTTTTCTGAGCTTCTGTTTTGCTCATTCTTGCCTTTATATTCTAGAACTTGTTAAATAATTTGCACTTTTATTCCATAAAATGCTTTCTTAACTTCATGAATGTTTAAATCAAACATGAATTTTATAAAAGAGGGCCCTTTTATATTCGACACTTAATGAAGAAGACGTCT